GACCAATGAGAGGAGGATATTACATCAAATTGTTGAGAAAGCTGTTGCATGCAATGCTTGCTTAGTGGAACTTGCGGATTTTGCGTTAGCTTATGTCAGCAAAGATCTCGACGTGCTTACTCGAAAATTGGGCATTGCTTTGAAGGTAATTATTACTTAAAAGGGTCTCTGGTCGATGCAAATTTAGCTAGATATTGAGTTGGAAAAAGTTGCATCGGTTTTTTGCAGGCAGTGGATGCTACGTGTGTTTATGATCATGAGGTTAATCGGAAATTTGAGCTGGCATTGGCTTCGACTTCATGGAAAATCCGAGCTGATAAATTACTGGAAAGTGCAGAGAAGCCCACGCTTCAGCAAATTCAGAATCATTTGAAAGAAGTACAAACTGCTTTACTTTAATCTTAATAACATCACAAATTCATCCTGTTCCAGATGCATTGTCCTAGAGCCAAGACTTTAAAATTAGAAAGAACGAGCAAAAAAAAAAAAATCGAGCTTTGGTTTGCAGATTCTAGAGCTTGCATTTTTAAATTTCTCCAATTATGTTTGTAAGTTTAGAATATTTATTTAAAAGGGCCTTCCTAAACTTTTACGATCTTGTGCACAAAAAAATGATCATCTTTCGGTATTCCATTAATGATCAGTCAATACTCTTCAGGGGCTGGCAGTGGAAATTCCTTCAGAAGATTACTTCACTCAGAAACTAACAGAAATTAGAAATACGGCCATCCAATGGGCCGAAACAGCAAAGAAGGTTTTAAATTTTGCCAAGTTCATTTGCTAAAAGTAATAGAACTAACAAAAAATAAAACTGGATATTAGCTGCAACAACTATTTAATGCTGTTTCTTTTTTTNGAAGACCATATGACCGTAGACCTATGATTGCTTGCGATAAGTGTGATGAATGGTACCATTTTGATTGCGTGAAAATCTCTTCGACACCGAAGTTTTACATCTGTCCTGCATGTGATCCTCATCAACCGACATTCTCATCAAAACCGAATCTACTCGAGAGGCAAGTTTATTAATTATATTCACTTTTTTTTTATCGGAGAAAAGTTGCAGCTGTTTCTTGAAAATTATCATCTAGGATCATGAGTTATATACTTATTGTCTGCGACATTCGCATGAACAGAAAATATAGAAAAAAATAAACAATAAAGAGGAATAATAACAGAAAATATTAATAAATAACCCTACCCTAACCCTAAAACTTTAAAAACCCCTGAAATTTGGAAGATGCTAGAAAAATCTAAAAGAAAAAAAAAAAGAATTGAAAACAGAACCCCAAAACTTTTTAAAGTTAGAAGTTCAAAATTTTTTTTGTACCATTTCACGAAACACTTTCTACCGAGCTCTGTTCGACTCATGTTTTAGCAAAAACCAATGTAGGGATAATGATAATGTATACCTTTAGCCATGAATGTACGTTTTTTAACTCTCCTTTTGTTTGCTTTTTCCAGATTGAATGGAAGCAAACTTGAAGAGCCTCAAACGCCTTCAAGGTGCTCCGAACTCAAGACTCTCTCACAGAAGTCAAAGAAGATGCTTGTGGTTAGCAGCAGCGAAAGATTATTGTGGAGGAATAAGAAACCTTTCAGAAGGGCAGCTCGAAAACGTGCTGAACTTCAAAGTCTATCTCCATTTTACCATGTACATGACAAGTCATAAACAGACAGAGATTCTGTTTGACCAATTTATTCGATTTTTTTTTTTTTTTTTTTTTTTTTTTCTTGTTTTTCCCAGGTTTTTGCCTAAGGGGATGCTCTAATTCTCTCTCCCTCTTTGATCATCTCATTAAACTAATCTTTTAATTTGTTAGTTAGACAAAAACTGAAATCATTTTTGTAATCCCTATGCTAACATTTTTATTGATTTTTTAAAATAAGTTTGGAGGGTCTGGGTGAAATGTAGATCCATCTATGTTACCAAGTATCCAAATTTTTATTTTGTTAGTATTATATGAAGAGATTATTATTATTACTCAATTTTTTTCGCGCTTACTTTTTCGTCATGGTTATACTTAATATGAAGAGATTATTATTTTGTTAGTATTATAGGATTGTTATTCGAGCGGCTAAGAGCATCTCCAATGGTTCAACATCTATTTTGAGATGAATGGCGTGGAGAAAGGGTATAAAAATATTTTTTCTCTAATGGTTAATGTCAATTGTAGAATAATTTGACACATTTAAGATAATAATTGGTTGGTGGAGAGATAAATGTAAAATAAATAATATAATATAGAGTATAAGATGTCTATAAGTTTTTCTGTATCTAGAAAGATTTCTACAATTTTGAAATGTCACATTAGATTTTTGAGGTTGCGTGGCAATGAATTAGAGCAATCCATGTACCATTAGAGATGCTCTAAGCTGTGCGAAGTAGCTCATGTCAAATTCATGCTCGTTTAATAAACAAGCCTTTCAATAATTAACCCCAACTCAATTTAAGCTCCGATCATTTGGCTTGTTTAAGCTAGTAAAAGCTAGATTTAGTTAGACTCGTTTAGTAAACCTAAAATCTAAAACAAATTGTCTATGAATAAGTTCGGCTCAAATGTTTTATATGAAATCAATGAAAAAAAAAACTAAAAAAATGGTCTTGGCTCGACGTGTATAATAAACGAACTCGATTAGTCGTTCAAGTCAAAGCTCTTCGACTTGACTCAGTGTTTGACCGAACATGAATAAAGCTCTTCGACTTGACTCGTGTTTGACCGAACATAAATCGAGCTCGAGTGCTTGATGAGCCGTTCCAATATAAATGTAATTTTCCTTCAAGCTAAATTGTAGTCACTGACAAGAAAAAGTCTTATTTTAATAGAAGATATTATTGAAAATTCGAATCGAGCAAAATTTGAGCTAATGAAATTCAAATAGATCTCTACAACTTATAAATATTTATATTTCTTTTTTCTTTTTATGTCAATTTCTCAAATTTTCCACAAGCAGTCCACACATTGTCATCGACGGTGACTCTCTCTCTCTCTCTCTCTCTCTCTCTCATGCCCTTCTGGTTCATCTTCAAATCTGCTCCAGTTGAAAATGGTGAAAAGGGAGGACAACGCCTCCTTCACTCCCGATAGCTTCTCGCCGCCTGATGCCCCGCCGGGCTTTCCACCCCAGCCGACCCGAAATTCCGCCGCCGCTGATGTTGATACTACGGGAGACCAGAACCCTGGCGATTATAGAAAGAGGTCCGTTTCCCCTGAATGGTACTGGCCTCGCCGTACCTCGAGGAAACGATCGCGGCCGGATTTCTACAAGCCGCCGCCTGCGCGAACGCCACCGCTGGCGGAGGGTCCGCGCCGCAGAGGCCGCCCGCCGAAAGCTCGATTGGTGTCTCCGCTTCGTAAGTGTGTTATGTATTGGCTTAATTGCAGTCCTGATTGGGAGAGCATATTTTGTGCTGTCATTTTGGTTCCGTCAATTTTGAATTTTGAGCGATTCGTTTAGCGTGAATTTTGATATTTTCTTCATTTTTGTGTTCTAAATGTGATAAACAAAGTCTTAATGCAGGCTCAATTGTGTTTCTTTGTTTGTAAGTGTAAAATAAACATGCAATTATGGTCCTTTGAGCATGAAGTGTTGAACTGCTTGGTCTCCAAGCGTCTTAATTAGTGGTTTGGGCCGTGTAAAGTTACTAATTTTGCGCGATTCTGGTAATGTAAGTTCGAGTTTTGTGAGGGTATGTGACAGTGTTGCATAATCTTTTGTCAAGTTGCCCTCTTTGGAAATGAATATGCATTTTAGAATTTCTTGGTCTGGCAAATGCAATTATGCTGTTAAAATAAAAACATCTTGGTTTGTATGAATATCAGCTGGTTGAAATTTATGTAATGTTACCGCAATATATCAAATTTTTTTTGATTAAAACGTTTAACTCTTTCCTGGGTTCATTCTCAAGATTGAATTAGGGGTGTCAAAATAAATGAGATATCTGATTCGCTTGTTTATTATTATTTTTTTCCTTCCCTTTTTTCAGTTAATCACAGTGAAGCATAATCTTTTTGTCAAGTTTTCTTATTTGAAAAGGAAAATGCATATTAGGATTTTCGTAGGTTCATTCTTGAGATTGAACTGGGGCTGACAATTAAACGAATCCGATTCACTTGTCGATTATGTTTTCTATTTTATTTTATTTTTTATATTCCAGTCTTATTTCATCTTGCAGCACTCAAAGAAACAGAAGCAAGAAATCCAAATCAGGCTTCGTCAAACCCATCTCAGAAGTTACAAGAGCATGTTTTGTGCTTTAGTAATAAATCTTCCCATACCAGTAAGGAACTATCAAGCTCAGATGCAGACAGTCAACTGATTGAACCATCACATCTTTACGAATTCAAACGAAAAAATAACTTGAATTGGAAAACCTCTGATATCGTCGTTAGTGAAAAGCAAGCTGGAGAAGCCACCGAGATATTTAATTTTCAAAATCGCAATGTTGACCCGAAAATCTTACATATTGCAAATGCTCTAGATCAAATGCCTGTATCTACTGTTAATCACTCGAAATTGGATCTTACACGTATGCTCGAATCCATTAACAAAAAGCACGGGGATATCACTCAGGACTCTGTATTAGAATCAGATTGCATGAAGACTTTTGTTTTACTTGGAATCTGTAATGTAATGCTCGACTTAGAAAGGAAACAGTTAAATGATATTGATGTTCGTGGCTTGGTTCCTTATTATACAGCCGTGTGGGATGCGGAGAACATGAAAGTGAACGTTCAGTGGCTGCACGAACGACTCGATGAAATTATGGTCGCTGTTAAATTAACCGATGAGGAGAAAGTTCTGGTGGATGAAAAGAAAAAACGTCTTGTGAATCTTGATATGAAGAAGGAAGAGCTCGAACTGCGTAAAGGTCAACTGGAGAGGCTTAGGTCTGAGGTTAATGATCTTGAAGCTCATGTGGCTCGAGAGGTTGTTATGGTAGAAGAGTTGAATCGAAAAATTGGTGCACGGCAATCGAGATATTCGGAGTTTCAGCATGCGTACTTGATGGATGGGCTCGTTTAGATTAACCAAAAAAAAAAAAATGCTTTTGTTTCGATTATGAGTAACTTGCAGGCATAGCATTTTGCAGGCCTTTTCTGCAATCGTCGTTCGTTATATGAGGCATTTTGCGACTTTTGCAGGGGCTGATATCTAATTTCATGAAAATTTCTGATGTATCTATGTCCCTGAAATAAAGATGGTTTGCAGGGTGTTCATATGCCAATGTAAATGACTTTACTAGTTCATGTAAATATGCCATGCTTTTGGGCGAAATTAACCGATGAGCTTGGTAATCAGTGAATAGCTTTGTAGATTAGTAAGGTTTAAATTATCTGGTAAATGAGTGTGGTATGTGCTATACTGTGCTTCCTCATTGTTGGATTTTTTTTTTAAATAAACATTTAAGTAAATAATGATTAAATATTTAGATCATAAATCTATATAGTCATATGTTGAATAAATGACACATATAATCAAAATCTAGAGAAAAGAAAAGCAATCAGATTTCATGAAATCTTTCTTAAGGATACATATTGCATGACACTACAAGAATGAAAACAAAAATACCAGAAAAAATGTGTAACCAAAGTATAGTACTGCACAAACTAGGCTTTATTAGGTGTACCCAAAACTAAACTGTAACTTAGTGGAAGATTCACCCTTCCTAAGTAGGGTGACCAATTATGCAGTTTGGTGCAAAATCGTACCGAACTGCAAAATATTGAATCTAAAAAAAAGCGACCGCAATTTAGGAGAAAATCGAATCGAAACCAAATTGAAAATTTTCACATTGAAATAACAAACTGATCAGCCGTTTTGCCTCGGCTTTTGTATACATTATATTTAATAACTTGGTGTTATTTGGTGCAAAAACCACACCGCACTGAACAAAATTGAAGTTATGAAAAATAGTAACCGCACCGCGATTTAAGAGAAAACCGAATCGAAATCGAATTACACGGTTTAGCTCGGTTTTTCGATTTCGACTCGGTTTTACTAACCCTAACCACAAATACAGTGCAGTCATAGAAATTTTGATGTTAGATTAACATACAATCGTATAATCATCAAGTGTTTTACTATAGTATGTATACAATAAAAAAACCTTACCACAATTATAGTGCAACCATTGAGATTTTAAATTGAATCAATATAATTCGTACATTTGTCATGTTTTTCACTGTTGAATCAACACATATATCGTATGTAAATCTAATAGTAAAAACTCAATAAATGCATTGCATTGGCTTCAAACCTCAAACCCCCAGCTAAAAACCCCATTTCCTAGTTCTAACTCCTAAAAAGAACATTGCTTGCAAATGTTACTTTAATTCAATTAAAATAGGAAAGGTTGGCCTTTCCCTTCACTTCACTTCATAAGATCAAAATCAATTTCATCTCATTTTGTCTTTACCCTCTCCCCTCCTTTCCCCAAACTCCCCCATTTCCTATTCTCTCCCTATTTCAGTGTCCAACATTCTAAATCTAGGGTTTCATTTCTCCTGTTGTAGTCGAAGTGTAGTTTAACCAGATGTTTGAATTTCGATGCTGAGAGTTTTGAACGGTTAGGCCAAGCTGTGATTCCCTCCTACATTTTCAGACTAAAAGCTGCGATTCTTTCTCTCTGACATTGTCTCGGGTTCAAGCTTTTCTAGTGTTTTGCTATCCTGTGTTTTTGAAGTATCTCGTTCAGGTTAAGAACTAAA